GACTCAATAAGGTGATACAATATCGTCGCTTACTTGTCAGCAGTTTCGTCTAAGGTATCAAGTGAACGAAGATTCCTCTCAATTATATCATAAAGTGCAGAAATATTACAAGGACTACTAAAAACTCAACCCAAAATGAACAGTAAGAGCTCTTTAATATAAACTTCAATCTGGAGATCATCTCTGCCAAACCTAGACTGCAAACTCGAATAATTTTTGAGTAATTGTCGGCTACTGCAGGAAAACTCTCCACTAATCGTCTGGCCTAACTAGTATCTACAGTGGCTTGTTTCAAATAAGCTATCTTATCAGTCAAATCAATTGATGGATCATCATGCACTACTTTGAACTGCGACCAAAAGAGAAGCTAATTTTTCAAGTCTTCATTAAATTTCTTTAGCTAGATTGGAGGTAATGTAAATTTGCGCAAATGGTCGAAATAGACAGCAAGGACACATAAAAGACAAAAAAAAAGGAGTACTACTAATAGATTTACCAGAGAAATTAAGACGATGGGAGGAGTACATTAGAGAACTTTTCCAAGATGAAAGAAGTGAAATGCAGAAAATACAAGAATTAAATCATTTAGAGAGACAGACGATCACGATAGATGAAATCAAATATGCTATCAAAAACTCTAAAGGCAATAAGGCAGCTGGATTAGATGAAGTACCCGTAGAACTGTTAAAACTAGTGGAAGAAGATAACTTGGAAATATTGGCAGATTTATTCAACACGGTGTATGATACGGGAATAATACCACAAAAGTGGATGAAGTCAGCATTTATAACCATCCCTAAAAAACAAGCAGCAAAAGAGTGCTCTGATTATCGAACATTGAGCCTCATGAACCATACTTACTACTACTATGACCCAAAGTACTACTGAAAGTAATACATAAGAGAATATACGAAAAGCTAGAGGAGGATATTAGCGAGATTCAGTTCGGTTTCCGAAATGGAAAATCATAAATATAGTGCAAACATTATATTGCAACCAAAGTGCCGTAGTTCAAATTGATGGGCAATACTCAGAAGAAATGAAGATCTGTAGAGGAGTTGAAACAGGGATGTGTTTCATCGCCACTTTTGTTTAACTTATATTCTGAAGAAATTTTCCAAAACACGTGGGAGTTACCGTTAACGGAAAATTAGTTAACAACTTACGATATGCAAACGACACTATGATCATAGCAATGAGTATAGAAGATCTACAACATCTTATCGAAAGCTTAAGTATGAATAGTGCTGAGATGAGAATTACTATAAACGCTAAAAAAACGAATTATATGTTAATTACAAAAAGACCACAAACTATACATCACCTATTAAAAATCAATGGTAACTTAATAGAACAAGTAAAAAAATATGAGTACTTGGGAACTTCGATCAAGGAAACCAATGATCATACTGCAGAAATAAACAGGCGAATAGAGATTGCCAGATCAGCATTTATACGAATGAAGCCACTCCTAACGTGCAAAAATCTAATTTGGCGATCAGACTACGTACCATTCGCTCGTTATATATTTTCAATATTATTATATGGAGCTGAGACTTGGCCTATAAAAAATGCAATTTAAAAAGAATCGAGGCTTTCGAACTCTGGTTATACCGCAGAGTATTAAAAATATCATGGACTGATAGAATTACAAATAAAGAAGTACTGGTGAGGGTTGGTAAAGAAACAGAACTAATCGCCACTATACAAACCAGAAAATGGAATACCTAGGCCACGATGAGGAGACCAAAATATGAAATTTTGAGACTCATAATACAGGGAAAGATTCAAGGAAGAAGATTTGTTGGCCGAAGGCAGAACTCATGGTTGAAGTATCTACGTGATTGGTATCAATGCAGATCGATTGATTTGTTTAGAGAAGCAAGTTCAAAAATAAAAATAGCCATTATGATTGCCAACATCTGTAGGGAGACGACACTGTAAGAAAACTCCCTACATTCTCAGACGAAAAGGTCCTAAAATTAAAAAAAAACTACCTCACACCAGCCTTGGAGAGACGATGCGCTGTTTAGAGCGCATATTTAATAATTAGAACGGTTACGTTTGGCAACATAGAATATGAAAACCTGTTTTCCTAAAATTTAGAGAAACACGTGATCAAGTGTCGATATGGAATTTTATTTTAACTTCCTCAGTCTTTTTGTTGTATTATTTATGTTTGATGCTTTAAAACTACTTATACAACACTTAATATACTCCGAGTTTAATTTTATTACCATATTATACATATTAATATTGACAAAATGACCAAATCAAGTTGTAACGAAGTGTTTTGTCTACCACGTAGGGTATTATTATGGGATAGAAAATTGGGACAGAAACTATAGGGCTAGAGATAGGGCCAGCAAAACAAATCGAAACTTATGCGAACGACACTCAGGGTTTATTTGGAGAGCTGGGGTCGTGCATAAGTTGAATGGCAAGGGGTCGGATTGGGGCAACCACAAAAAAGAAACAAAAGAGGGTACTTACATGAGTCTCTTCGACAAATGGACAAAACACAAGGAGAAGGATCTCTAGCTATTTAAAATAAGGACGCCGCTTCGAAGGATCCCCCTGTTGGATGAAGGAAAAAGGCTTTTCCTTCCTAAAAAAAAGAAACACAAAAGAGGTTAGGAGACTTTTCTAAAATAAATAAATAAAATGGCTTAGAGAAATACATTCATTTATTGTTGTCTCAACACAAACAGTTACACATACAAATACAAAAATAATTATGATATAAATAGTTACAAGGATTTATACCAAAATAATAAAAAAGAAAAACTTACATATGTCCTATTAGTTTTACAAACTCTGTTTACAAGTGGGAGATGCTACAAAACTTACAAAAATTCACTAGGAAACTAAGTTCCTGTAGCTGACTGTATACCATATATCACAAAAAATTTATTTCAAATCCTTTATAAAAGGTATATAATAAAATGCCCAAACGGGCTATCACAATTACATTACAAAACGTTTTCGGATTGTTAAATCCATCATCAGTGTAAATGAGGTATACATGCTATGAGCCACCAAAATATATGGGTCAAAACCCTTTAAATGTTATAAATTTACAGTTGTTTGACATTATATATGGTTACAGATTATGATGTAAGTTACCGTTGGAATTGGTAACATGGCGACGTATGACCCTACATAGGTAAAGTTATCAACAGGTCCTCGAAGACACTTCGTCTTAGGACCATTTTACCTATGTAGGGTCATACGTCGCCATGTTACCAATTCCAACGGTAACTTAAACATCATAATCTGTAACCATATATAATATAAAACAACTGTAAACATTTAAAGGGTTTTGACCCATATATTTTGGTGGCCATAGCATGTATACCTCGTTTACACTGATGATGGATTTAACAATCCGAAAACGTTTTGTAATGTAATTGTGATAGCCCATTTGGGCATTTTATTATATACCTTTTATAAAGGATTTGAAATAAATTTTTTACAAAAATTGTTGCTTTACTATCAGTTACTGTGCTATAAACTGTGGCAGATTTAAATCATTACAAAATAAAAAATATTTTTTAAAATGAAACTATGTAGAGATTTTAACCAATGACGTATAATATATAGACTACGCAGTCCCCTATTCTCGCTATAGAATCAAGTGTCCGAAAGATCTCGGCTCAAAGTTGAAGGTATGTTTATCACAACAGCGGCGTGCTCATTTATATGTTAATGACAATAATTATTTTTTTAATTAAAATTAAATATTTATGATTTCTTTTTGTTCCCGTCTATAAGAAATAATTATTTTGATAAAATAGTATGGCATTTTACTAAAATAGTAAGTAAATAACTATCAACAATTTAAAATAAAATTTGCTTGTCACACAAAATGGAGTACGTCCATGATGTTTTCAAACACAAGATCAACTTCGTGATGCTTCGTAAGAAATCATGAACTTCGTGCATCTTCGTATCAAAACAATAAACAATAACAAAGGTATTCATGTTTTGGACACTTTTTAAAGCGTTCACCGAGTCTATATATTATACGTCATTGATTTTAACCTTCTTTTAAAAAACAAAACGAATAAAAGTAGCTGTCATATGTCAACATAAAATCTTACAACAGAGAACAAATAAAATGACAGCAATGACCACACCCTAAGACATGTAATTTTAATTGTTACAATTTTTTTTTAATTATGAAAGCAAATTATTATTTGAAATGTTTATTCTTCCTTTAAACGTTTAAACCAAAAAAAGTTACTTTGAGTCACTTTAGTGTTACACTTCACTTTAAATTTATGGGGGTAGGAACTGGAACATCAAAATTGCTGCAGGCGAAGATTTGTATATTTTAGATACTTAGAAAAAGAAATAGTGATTACTCTTTCAAATTTGACATATTACATGGAGTATATTTCACTATTTTGTACAAATTTGCCGGTTTTGACCGACTCAACTAAAACACGTCCGCTTCTCAATGCCTATATTTCAAACCTAACATTCGACCTTCGTCGATCGATCTCTGTTGTACCGGCACTTTCCCCTCGCGTCTCACCTTAACCAGGCCATACCATGGAATAAGCTAAAATTCTGGTTAGACATAGACGCTTAAAATTATCGTAAAATAACATTGAATCACTTCCAGTTTGATTTTGGAATTGTAGAACTAAGACGCAATATATGAACTATTTTAACTTCCGGCGGTAACCGGGATTTACAAAATAAACACAGACTCGGCAATATTTTATACTAAGCAGGAGCGTACTAGAAAATTTTATTATTTGAATATAAGATAGGAATTTTCTGCATGCTACAACATCAAGAAGAAAAGAATATTTTTATTACCGTATTTACATACTAACATTGACCAAATGTACATCAAGTTTTATGTTTTCTTCACACGCGATTAGGTACCATTTAAACTTTTTTGAAGCTGAAATTTTAAATATTCTTAATTGCCATTTTAAAGTAAACAACTAGTATCATACCTAAGAGATATAATTTTTGTTTTTAAGATCTACCGCTTTGCAACAAGCCGACGTTATTCTTCTTCTGGGAGCACGACTCAACTGGATTTTGCATTTCGGCAGACCTCCAAGGTTTTCTCCAAATGTTAAAGTAATTCAAATCGATATTACTGCTGAAGAATTGCACAATAGTGTAAAATCTGAAGTAGCAATACAAAGTGACATCAAAAGTGCATTAGAACTAATAAATGCAGGTTTAAAAAAACGAAATTTCAAATATAATGACAACAGCGAATGGTGGAGTTTATTAAGAAAAAAATGTCAGGATAATCAGAGGACTGTAAAGGTAATATAAACTTATTTATTGCTAAATTTTCTCTGCCAAAGTCTACATTAAATAGACCACCAGTATCAAATTTTGGTTTCGTTGTTTTATCTTCTATTGTTTTATATATCTTTCATTCACCCCCTTTGGTACCAAGTGGTACCATACCTGGTTATTTGGTGCCGATTTAGCTTTTGCTGAAGCTACTTTTGTTTTTTGACCGTTGTATAATTTTGAAAATTGGGGCCAGAACTGCTTATTCTTTGTTATTGCGAGGAGAAAAGGACAAAAAATAAATCTATTTCTTGTCATTTTCCAATTGTACTTCTTCTTTTTCCTCTTTATAAGCAATTCTGCCTATTCATTGGCATTGGATTAATGCCTCTATGGAATGAAGAATGGACCAACAATCAGAAGATTAGAGCACGCATCGGAAAAGCTAGATCCTGCTTCAATCAGATGGGGCCTTCTTCAAGAGTCACTCTCTTGATACAGAAGTAGCTGCGATACTACGTCTTCTCTGTCCTTTTTTATGGTGTTGAATCATGGACCTTGAACGAAGACATGTGCAGAAAACTGGAAGCATTTGAGATGTGGCTATATCGGAGAATACTTAAGATCCCGTGGACTGACCGAGTTACAAATGAGGAGGTACTCAGAAGAATTAATAAGAACCGAGAGTTACTAACCACCATCAAATCTCGAAAGTTACAATTTTTCGGACATATGCGAAATGAATCTAGATATTCTCTCCTTCAAGCCATCCTGCAAGGAAAAATTTTTTGGAAAACTAGGTTCAGGAAGAAGAACATCTTGGTTAAAGAACCTCAGAAACTGGTTCAATACAACATCTGTGCAGCTTTTCCGCGCTGCTGCAGATAAGATGAAGATTGCCATGATGATCGTAACGGCCAACATTCGTAACGGATAGGCACATCAAGAAGAAGAAGAATGGAATGCCTCTATTGTCACTTCATCTTTTGCGTGGTCGTCCAATACTTCTACCGATTCGTGACTTATCTCTTGCTATTTTGACGATACAGATCTCCCCCATTCTACTTAGGTGGTTATTTCATTCTTTTTTCTATTTAGGGTCCATTCATTTATACTCTCTACGTTATATTTCCTTCTAGTGTCTTCACTTTTCTTTCGATCTCTCAGCGTATTTCTTGTAATTCTTCTTACTACTCCCATCTCTGCCGTTTCCAGTAGCCTTCGTCGCATCAGGTCCAGTTTCAGAAGCATATGTCATTATTGGTCTTCCACAAGGAAACTAAGTTCCTGTAGCTGGCTGTATACCATGTATCACAAAAACTTTATTAAAATCCTTTATAAAAGGTATATAATTAAAAAACCGAATCGGGCTATATCACAACAACAAAACGTTTTCGGAATCCATATTCCATCATCAGTGTCTAGGTGTACATGTTTTGAGCCACTAAAATATCTGGGTAAAAACCCGTTAAAAGTTTAATTTTAATATCGAATAATGTAAACTAAATTTAAACTTATAATTTTTAATGGGTTCTTACCTAGATATTTATTGGCTCAAAACATGTACACCTAGACACTGATGATGGAATATGGATTCCAAAAACGTTTGGTTGTTGTGATATAGCCCGATTGAGTTTTTTAATTATATACCTTTAGAAAAGATTTTAATAAAAAAAAATTTATTGGTCTTACACTGACTTTATAAATTCTTTACTTCATCTCATTGTTAGTGGTAGTAGTATGGATTACATGTTTGAATCTTACTATGTCAAATGGTTTCTTTCAGTCTACCAGACATAAATGGTGGTCTATTATACTCTAGTGATTTCTCAGTAATTTGCTTTATAACAAATATTGCATCTGTACACGATGCACTATTTGTGTGCATCGTGTACAGATTATACTCGGTTCTCTATTCCCAGTCTGAACTGTCTAGTGAATTTAGTAATTATTTTTTTGCGAAGTTAGTTACTTTTTGACAGACTAAAAGTGGCTGGAAATTACTATATAACCAAACACACGTACTCATAGCCAATATTACTAGTAAACAAACTAAATAGTAAATCAAATAGAACTTTGCGAATTACCGACAATCAATATTTATTTATCTGCACATATAATAAATAGTTATGTTAAATTATACCAACTAAAATATATTTTTTAAATATATACTACCCAAAATTTGATGGGTTTAGTATACACTTCCACTATTTAGAATAATTCTTCTTTTTTCAAAGAAAGAAGTCTGCAATAGTAGTATACTTGAGCTATTAATACTGAGAAGTAGGAATTGTTGTATTGTAGGTTTCCGACAATGAATCTGTCAAAATATGTCCGAGCTAAGCGAATGGAGTATATAATATAATCTGACAGTTCTGTGCCATCTCGGCTCCAAACGATCCACAAATCTTTCACCTAGTCATAGCTGGAGTCGACAAAAACCTTTCCCAGAAAATTATCGAAGATAACCTATCCGAAAACAGATTTCCTTTCACCAAAATAGTTCGCATAATTGCCCGCTTCACAAACCAGCCCACCTCATATATCAGAGTTTTCACGAAGTCCGAATCTAAATTCGCCGATGCACTTTTGAATGGTATGAAGATCGAGGTAGAACGGCTAAATTGTGAGATTCCAAAATCTAACAATTCCATTCCGGTTCGACTGAAATACTGTTCGAAATGCTGCAAAGCGGACATCTCAGCAACTAATGCCCAAAAAAGTCATATATCTGTCCATTCTGTGGACAACAACACATGTCCACTGCATGCCCCACGATATCTGATCCAAAATTCTCAAACTTTAATGAACCCCATCCCGCATTCTCACCAAGATGCCCACACCGTAATACACAACCCAAAAACAAATCCAAGCCGTATACTCACCTAAACAAATCCCTTCATACGACCTTTCCTCTGATATGAAATCCTTAATTCATTTCACTTCCATGATCCTTTTTAATGTCTTCTTCCGGAAAAAGGAGTGACAACATCCATTATCTCAACCAAATGTCCAACACACTATATGGGTACGCCATAACGACCTCCTGTTATAATAACCTAATAAACCAATCCTTTACGCAACTCTGCATATAAACACATAACACAACACTCACATGCACACCGATGTACACATATCATCACCACACATCACTCAAATATACACCTAATATTTACCCACATATGCACTTTACCTCCACCAAGCTCATCGTAACATATAACAACAAACAGTGAGCACCAAACACTCCTTAAAAGTCGAATTCAAATCGCAAGGACAGGGGGAGATTGGTTTTCTGTGGTTTCCCAATCTCATTGCACAACGATACCTGATCATAGGTGAGGACATAGCCACAGCTATCCTCCACGCGTTGAACCCAAACAAAAGGCCAACAATCTGAAAAGGACCGTTTTCCCACGGAACTTGTACTTAGTAGCGGGCTTGGTCCACATGGCTCCAATAATGCGGAAATAACTCTTCTGACTCTTGCTTCACAAAGATCACGCCCTGTCTCGGGGGACGGCAGCACACCAAACAAAAATACCACCCTTGAAGAGGCACATAGCCTAAACAAGGTAAAAACAGAGGTGGACTTATAGACTAGTGCCATCTCATCATTATTGTGAAGATGTTTAATGATATCTATTTATCGTAAGAATACATCTTATTCCAAGTATTTCCTTTTATTTTCATAACCAGTTAGGTACATTCTAAGTACCTAGCAGCAGTAACCAAGCAGAGTTCAAAGGCTCAAACTAAATATATATTTCTGTATCACCTATTTTTATATTTCATATCTCGTCATAAAGTCATAAAACATTTTAAATTATAAATAGTTTTAGAATCGAACATAATTTTTTAGGCTATGTGTGCCGATATATCAGTACCACTAAACTACTATGCCGTTTTTCAAAACCTATTTGATCGTTTACCTGAAGATTGTATAATTGTAAGTGAAGGTGCTAATACAATGGATATAGGAAGAACTTTATTGCTTAACAATCAACCCAGGCATAGATTAGATGCTGGTACTTTTGGAACTATGGGTGTAAGTATGTTATTTCGTAATTTATTTCACAAAAAGTATACTAGAATAATAATAAAGAAAATAATAGGGTTACGTCGGAATCTTAGGGGAGACTTGGGCCTTCAGACATAAAAATTTGAACTGTCATATCACTCTAAATACCTCACCAAATAAAGAAAGAAAATATTCATAAAATACATTTTTTACCCAACTTTCACTGTATATATGCTTTTAATATTGAACCCTATACTTGTAAAAAAAAACAAAACCACTTTTTCAAAAACTTCTAAAGGTACCCCACTTGGGGGACACATTCAGACGGGAAATGGGGCAGCTTCAGACGCAATTGGAAAAATGACAACCTCATAAATGTTTTAGAAATTATTTATTACAATATTTAAAACTATATTATGATACTTTCCAATGAAACTGAAAAAGACAATAATGATTTCTGACGCTTTGTACCCTGCTCAGAAGGAGTTGGCAAAAGAGCTACAATTTCTGATAAAAAAGCACTAGAGATATCTGGTACGACGGGATATCACTATCACATTTACCAATGATCCTCCCAACATAGTACACATCCTTTTGTTTTACAGTCCCAAATTGAACCAGCGCCAATGTATTGAACCAAATTTTCAATTCACTCCTGTCAAAATTTTGCTGTGGTTCTTCTAATACTTTATCATCACAGTTTTTGCCATTTTCATCATCAGTTGTCTTCTGATTCTTCTCGTTTTCAAAAAGTAGTTTCCTTTTCGTAAATTTAGTATGTTCAGCATTAGAGTTTGTGATTTTCTTTGTTTTTTTATTGATCTGTTTTTCTGCCAGAAGAAGATTTTCTGGGGTCTCAGTTACTATTCTGCTTTTCTCCTTTTCTCTTGGTTTCTTGCGGCTAGTATTGAGTTTTGATTTTGAATAGTCTCGTATCTCCTCAGGACTTAAATAACAGCCAGGCTGTTGAGAGGGCATAGGCGTAGAGTTTTGGCAGCTTGATGTTGATAGAGTGTCTATTGGTTGCTGAAAGTTTTCGTTTGACATTTGGGGAGATGAGGGTGGTTTTTCAGATTCTAAAGTTGGTAGACTTGCAACTAGTTGGCAGGTTAGAGGTTCATTAGGAAGAATTGCGTCTAGAGAATTAGGTCACTCACTGACCAAACTGGTAGCAAACATATCGTCGGTGAAAATGTGCCTGTCTACTGGAAATATTCCTGCTTTTTTGAAAAAATTTATAATGCTCTGTGGTAACATGGCACGGCATTTGTGCTATTTCAACACATGCGGCCACGTTATAGATTCCAAAACGTGCAGCATGATAATATGTTTTAAAAGGTTTCATCAATTCCACATCCAGTGGTTGCATCATGTGGGTACAATGGGGTGGAACTGTTAGCATGTGCACGCCATTAGCTGTTGCTAATTCTATTGCCTCAATTGACAAGTGGCTCTCATGGTTGTCGTAAATTGGAAGCATTCTTCTCGTTTCAGAGGAATCTGAACATTTTATAAAGTGCTGCTTCACATGAACGAAATTGGAAGTGGTCATCCAACATGGCTGACGAGCCAAACCCAAGGTCCCGTTTGGTGCTCCATTTATCATGTGGCTCTTGAAGTGCACTCTGGGAAATACTAGAGCAGGAGATATTGTATTTCCTGCTGCATTTATAAACAAAACTGTAGTAACCGGAGTTGCTCTCTCACAATCTTGGGTGGCGTTTCATAACACCGTCTTTTCCGACTATAGCCAGTCTTTTCCTGTCATTCTTGGAGCTTTCCAGTTTTTAGGACAGTCAATATTGTTCATTTTAGCCATCTCATGTGCTAGTTTTCGAGTTTCTAGATTGTTAAGACCATAAAACATTTTTGAACACTTAATTAAATATGCCTCAAGGTCGTCTTCCTGTTTGTCAGTAAAAACCTTTCTAGTATCGTTTCTTAATTTCATATCATGTTCGCCGTCTGGGTTATCCCTAAACTTCTTAACGCACATACCAACAGTTTGATATTTTAATCCAAATATTTTAGCAGCATTTCTTATCGATTCACCATCTAGGATGGCCGCTACACATTCTTTCATAGATTCGGCATCGAAATTTCCTTTTGTGTTTTCTTTCTTCCTATTTCTTACCATCTTCAGAATAACTAATAATAAATATATATAACTAAATATATATATATATATATATATATATATATAATATATATATATATATATATATATATATATAAACTTTTAAGCACGATATTTCAAAAAATATATCTCTATTTTCCATTGCGTTTGTCTGATAGTTCCCTTCCCCATACCCTTTTGTCTGAAGGTGCCCCTCGATGTGTCCAGACTAAATGTAAAAATATAAGCTAAGAGTGCCATCAGTAACAAAGGTGAATATTACAGTTTATACAGCAATAAATGGACTTAAGACTGGTAGCAATGTTAACTATCCTAAATCTTATCTTCTAATTAAAAACTCATCTTACCTTCAATCCAAAAATTTGACTTTCAACCACCAAAAACTAACTTTTCAACTATGAGATGAACCCTTTACTGCACGGTTCTACAGACTGAACTACAATAGTGTGAGTAGTAATGGAATGCTTTGATGTCAGTGTTGCCAACCCTGAGTCCTTAAATTTACCCACAATATCAACGTCTGAAGCTGCTCCCTGTCTGAAGGAGCCCCCTTCTCCCCTACACTTATCTCGACTCGGAAGACAAATGACTATACTTCAAGTACTAGCATATTGGAAATGAGTCAATACTCACAATCTTAAGTAGTTGTTATTTCATAAATTTGGTGAATTTTGGGCTAGCGGTTTGAAGGCTTACAATATTTGCCCCATCCTGAGGCTTCTTCATCATCCAGAACCCTTCATCATTTGACTATACTTAATTTCAGATGTCCATGCAGTAAAGGAATGTGCAACTTACGTTTGAAAACCAGTATTTAATACACTCAATAGTAATAAGGGTTTTAAAGAGTCTTCAATAGTTATGAGCTTATAATGGTATTATTTACAAGTGTAAAACGTACATGAGCATGCAAATGGGTTTCACAGCATTCTGTAAAAGTTGCATATGAAGAAGAAATATTACTTTTTTTATAATTGATGGATTCGACCGTAACTTGATGAAAATTCATTTTATGTAACAATAAAACACTGAAAACTTTGTTTTCAAACTTCCACAAAATTTATTTTAACCTTTTATCACTACAGCTGTTTCGGCTGATTGCCTTTCTCAAGTGATCTATTTTTGGCATGCTTTTATACTTTATAGTCTCTAATATAATTCTGAATAACCAACTTGAGACACCTCACAGTACTCCCCTCCCCTATTTCATTAGAGACTATAAAGTGTAAACGCATGCCAAAAATAGATCACTTGAGTAAGGCAATCAGCCGAAACCGCTGTTGTGATAAGAGGTTAAAATAAATTTTGTGGAAGTTTGAAAACAAAGTTTTCAGTTTTGTATTGTTACATTACTTTTTTTGATTTTTAGCAAATTTTGTATGTATATATTTAATTGAATAATGTAATTTGCTATTTGAGTAATACAAATGTCAATTTTTTAAGCAAAAAAAAATAATTATTTTATTGACAGTTTCGCAACAATCACTTTACTTTTTCAAGATCTTTGTCAATGTGTAATAATTTTATTTTGTACATAATCGTAATTATTTTAAAAATTTTTATTAAAAGTAATGGAAATAATACATATTGCTATAATAAAAATTTCAAATAATACTGAATAGCTAAAAAATTAATTAACAAGTATCACGTTATGCATAATCTACGTTGACTTATTCATCATCCGTGGAGGTGTCTTCAGCAGTCACGTTAATAATTAGTGGTTCCACCAAAATGTCTGTGTCCAAGTCCCACATTTTTTCTTCCTCTTCTATCACATGTTGAAAGCATTTGTTCCAGTTTAAGGCAGTGACATTATGTAAAGCGTGTTTAAAAAGTTCTTTAACGTCTGCAAGTTTGTAAGTGCTATTATTTCTTGCCACGTCCCCTTTTACTTGGACCCAAATCAACTCTATGCATTGCATTCTTGATGCATGTGAAGTATGTGTTGCCTAGCGATTTGCAAAAGCTCCAATTTTAGAAGGTCATATCCAAAGGATACATATTTATTAATTAACCACTGTCTAATATTCTCTTTCTTCTACGCTGTTGTTGGAAACTGTTCGGTTTGCCGTGAATGATATTTGGCATTGTCCATAACGATAATCGAACTATCTGGTATAAATTTCAGCATTTGTTCAAAATATTCTTTAAATACATCGGCGTTCATATATTCGTGGTCGCCACAATTTTTTTGAGCATAAAGAGCATCTTGCACTTCGCCTCTCATCCAGTTTTGTGAAAAAGTCCCACAATTTTTTTATCATCTTCAAGGAACATTTTAATTAATAGGAGTAATAGGAGTAACTGGAGCAGCATTAAATCTGAAAAGAAAAAAAACGTCTGTGAAATAAGGTGTAGGTATAACTCCTCAGTGATCTCAGTTTGGGAATCAAGATGCGGATAGTGAGATGCTACGTTCTTCCAGTGTTACTATATGGAGTTGAAGCCTGGACACTGACGCAAGCCACTGAAAAACGAATCGAATCCTTCGAGATGTGGATATACAGAAGGATACTAAAAATATCTTATGTGGACCATGTCACCAACATTGAGGTCCTACAGCGCATGAAAAAAGAAAAAGAAGTGCTTAATTTAATTAAACAACGTAAGCTTAAGTACCTCGGCCACGTGATGCGGAACGAAGAAAAATATCGAATTCTTCAACTCGTTATGCAGGGTAAAGTATTTGGCAGAAGACGACCGGGACGCCGTCGGATCTCGTGGCTCAGCGGAGCTGTTTCGCAGATCAGTCAACAAAACCATGATAGCCTTGATGATCGCCAACATCCGGACCAGATAAGGCACTGAAGAAGAAGAATAACTCGTCCAGATAAAGAAGCGAACTGTAAATGGCAACGGCTATCTGAACGTGAGCATGAATGAGAAAACAAGAACGCATGATATCTGTGTGAGCCTTAGTCTTAGTGTGAGCGAAAAAGCATGACCACCGGTAGCCTTTATAGACTGTTCTTTATCTGACAAGTTATATTTGTTGAATGTTTTGATTGAAAAAAAAAATTAAAAATTAAGGGGTGCATAGGTCGTGAGGGTATAAAAAAACGACTTTAAAAAAATTATATCTCAAAAACTAAAAATTATTTTTATTTGTAATTAAGACATATAAAAGTATAGTACTTGAAGTACTCTGAAAAGAGAGTTTCAGAAAAATATTCATTTTTGGTAATTTCATAGTAATTTGTCTTTAACAGCCTTTTCCTTGCGGTGGACGGTCAAATTTGAAAAAATTTGTAAAAATTTGGGTCGAAAATGTGTTTAAACTTATGTAGAACCTTCAAATTTGGAATTCTCTTTAATTGCTTCGTGTATTCACTAGCCAGAGCTATAAACTACAAGAAAATTTTTGACATTTTGCTTTCAGATGAAGCTAGACCTAGATCTCATGTCCACCTCAAGAAAAAAGGCTGTTGGCGAAAAATTGCTGTGAAATGGGCAAAAATAAATATTTTTGTAAAAGATCGCACTTTTACTGTGATAAGATCGGTGTTGGTAGTTAAGAAGGAAGTGTTTACTATTGACTGGCGGTCCTTATTCAATTAACTTACATAAATCATCAAAGTATACTATAATATATATATATATATATATATATATATATATATATATAATATATATATATATATATATATATCAATAAAAATAAACACATATATTGTATACATCTAATTTAAGAAAGCTCCATATCTAAACATCGGTAAACGTGCGTTTCGAGATGGGCAAGATCGTTGAAAGCAAAATTGCACTTGGGACACCTTAACAATTCGTTTCTGGATGGGGAAGGAGCTGATGGTTGACGAATTTGTTCTACTCTTGGAGGAGAAGGACGAGGTGGGATTACAAAGTTATTCCCTTCTCTTCTAAGCAACTCTATTTCTTCTTGAAGTTGTTGGTTACGTCGCTGTATGTTTTGGAGGTCTTCTTCAAGTCGATCTTTTTCGCCTAATAAAAATTAAGGAATAAATTGTAAATTTACATAGTACAACTAAAAGATTTATTACTTATTTAAAATATATTAATTATTTATTTAAATGAGAAGTATTTTCATAATTATTTAAATTCACAATCACATTATTCTAGAACTATCTGTATGAGATTATGAATATTCAAAAGCATTAAATAATTATAAAAAACACATTTTATGTATTAAAATTTACTATTTTTACTGATAAACCACTATTTTGAAGTTTCGACTTCCACTATTATTTCGCAAATCGATTTCAAAATATAAATTAAATTTTTATTGTGTGAACGATTTCCGAAGTGGAAATCAAAATATCAAAATGAACATATTTTAAAATAAAATTGTGATTTATTCCCAGTAAAAATAGTAAACTGTACTAAAATGTCACAAGAACATACATTTATTGAAAGCCAGTAATTATTGCCTTAATTACTATGTCAGGTTACGGCGGGCCTAAAAGTACAGTCGTTAACGAAAATAATTTTTTAAATTATTATTTCTATTCTTGTAGATACATGTTGGGCTTCAGCTATTTCGTTGTACTTCTTGTATAGATCGAATATTATCGACGACGCCAAGGCTCAATATTTTTCAGATTATTTCTCTCTCGAATATTAATAGTGTGGTTTCAGCTCTATTACAAAGCGCACATGTCTCCGATACATATAGTATGATTGGGAGTATTATGGTTCTGTATAGCATTACCTTTGATTCTTTTGTTAGACAATGACTTCTAAGGTTTTTAATAAGTCCACAATAACTTTTGTTTGCAAGTGTTGTTCGTAATTTTTAACCATGCTTGCCAGATAAGAGAACTATTGCACCCCTTCAAAATTATAGTTAGAATCTATAGTTCTATCAATGTTAAAGTTTTGTTACACTGATTCTACAGCCTGTCACTGATACGATAAACTTTGTTTTGCTTTCATTGATGATTAGACCTATATTCTCTGCATGCGGCAAGGTCCATGTCATCTGCAAGGCCAATACCTAGGTAGGTTAATTAAATATTGTACCACAGTTGTTCAGTTCTGCTTTTCTTGTAACTTTCCCTATGAAATGCTAAGGAGGTATGCACCCCACTGCCTCAGTCCTGTTAGTGTTCTGAATATTGTTCGGAAGCTATTTTCTTGTGAAATTTTAATATTATTGTTTATCTTTAATGGGAGGTAACCACCAACTACTATTATTATTTTTACAAATAGTATTACAAAGTAACAAAACAAATTATTTTATTTTACTTGGTAATACAAAAAATTCTAATAATTTAATTTTATCTGAATCACTTATATTGTCAATTGAGACATGTATTATACATTTTAAAGAAAATGAATTTAAAATAATATTGTCAATATTTTTGAGGGGCACTTCTGGGATGATTTTATTCGGGAATGGTCCATTCGATTATATAAAATTAACTTTTAAATTAAGAATACAATAACTTTTTTAACACAACCACATCCAATCATGACAATAAAATTCTGTCATTAGTAATTTCATTGTAACTTAAAGGAAATCCAGGAAAATAGCTCATCATACCATCCCGAAATGGTATTTGGTTTTACTTTTAGTATACTCCCAATATCTAACATTAAACTCCAATCTTATATGTATATGATTTTAAAACGTAAATGTCACATTCTCGACAGTTATTGACTTATTCCTGGTGTTATTTTCTTTTATTGATTTCTTCAAGTATTGGTAACCAGATCCTACTACATTCTTAAAGAAGCTGTTCTTATTGTATTAAATGAAATCAACGGTGTCCCAAATGCCTCGGCAGAGTGTAGTAGGATCTGGTTACCACTATTAGTAAGTCAATAACATATCGAGAATGTATTATTTATGTTTTAAAGTCACATAAATACAAGATTAGAATTTAATTTTAGATCTTCTTCTTCTTGTGCCCTGCTCGATTATCATGCATTGACTATATTAAATTTGTTATTGTTTTGAAGCTATTTTCTTGTGGCATTTTAAATTAATTACTATTCAATTGGGAATAAGCCACAATTAAAGATAAAAAAATAAAATTTGTTTAATTTACTGTTTGTATTTTGAGAACGATTTCCGAAGTGGAAATTGAAACGTCAATAAACGTATTTTTTTATCTTTAATTGTGGCTTATTCCCAGTTAAATAGTAATTAAATTAAATTTGTTGCCGGCAGCTCGGAAAAGGATCCGTTAAAGAATTCTCTGGAGTTTTTTGACGTTTGTCTTCGACCTGCCCCCTTCTTCCACCTGTCATACCTTGAATTTTTATCTTTATCATTAAATGAAAAGATAATGTTAGATATTGAGAGTAAACTAAATATAATTTACTATCACGATTGGATGTGGTTGTCGTTTTAAATAAATATCAACATATCAATAAATATTAACAATATCATGACTCACAGCTTAAATGATGCAGTAGCTACTTAATAAAACTAGCTTGTGTCAGATTGGCTCAATAAAAAAAATACATACTGAAATTAAATTACTACTACAGTCTTTTAAAATAGTGTAAGCTATTTTTTGGGTTTTAAATATACCTTATTTAAATTATAAAAATATTTAATTATTTTATATATGATTTTGATTTCACGCTTAAATAATGCAAACTTTAAAACAAGAAAATTGATAAAGAAAGCGAACTCTACGCATTGAAAAATGATGACGCCAATATTTTGTAGGTCTTCCTTCATTATCAATTACAGCCCGCAGTCGTCTTGGCATTAATTCGACCAACTTCCTAGTGTACTCTGAGGAAATTGTATCCCAGGCTTCAGTAATTTTTACTTTCAATTCATTTCTATTTGATATTGGGGCACTATTTACTTTATTTTTTAATGTCAACTACAAATTTTCAGTAATATTCAAATCTGGTGACTAGGCTGGTGTTTTAATGACATTCCGGTAATTATAAATCAACCACGTACGAACCCGATATGACCCGTGTGTTTTGGATAGTTGTCCTGATAAAACTAGTAATTGTTAGTAATACCTAATTTTTGAGCATTAGTTGCGAAATTCTGCCTTAGTTTACCCTAGTACATGTATTGGTTCTATTCCCGTCAATAAAATGTATGTTACCTACTCGTACAATGACATACACCTCCACACCATCACTCTACCTTCCCGTGATTTACCCGTAGCTTTCATATTTTTTAATTTTAGTTCTTCATTCGGCTTTCTCCACACCGATATTGTTCCATCGGTCCCAAACAACTTTATTTTGGTTTTATCAGCAAATATACTGAATTCCAAAGTTCAAATCCTTGTTAATAAGCTCCCCAGCGAACACCAATCTAATACGTCTATATCTTTGGCTAATAAAAAGTTTATTTCTAGTAGTTTGATCATGTAGGTTATTCTTTCGTAATATCCTTCTAATTGTTTCTGGGTTACACTGTTTTCCAAACTGTCGTTTCACCTCATCTCGCAATTTTGGTGCACTTTTATACGATTATTTGCTATTTCTCTGACAATCCATCTTTTCTCACGTTTGGTAAAAATCTTATTTGGAGCTAACCTTAATTTATTTTTAACTCTATTTTCATTTCGGAAACATTCAATAATGTGCTGAACTGTTGATAAACATTTATTTACCATATTTTGGATATGGCTCTTTGGTTATAAGCATTTCTACTGTGAGTAATAATTCAATTTCTTTCACTAATCGTAGTTCGGCACCAAATTCTTAAATAATTTTAATATTTGGCGATTAAATACTTTGAAAGTCAAATTTTAAACATAAAAATAACTGCAATATAAAATTTAATGCAACTCTTACTTCGCACACTTCAACTTGATAAGTTGTGTATTGCTTCATCTTATCTGCATCATTTTGGCTGTGACATCAAATTCAGACATAAATCAATTAAATATTTATTGTTATTTAGGTATGGTATATTTTAGAATATTTATACTAATATTTTTCTCATAATAAATATTGATGTATATATATATATATATATATATATATATATATATATATATATATATATATATAATATATATATATATATACGAGAATTTGGAAAACTTGAAAAAGGATCACTACAGCAGCAATGAGAGCAATTTGTGACAATATGACTTAGAAAACTTATAAGGTTTTCAGAGCAAAAATTAAAACATCCACGGAGAAAGCTAAGCTACCTGAGGAAAGGGATGTCAAACGTTTAGAACGTTTCAAACAAGAAGAAAACCTTAATGCGAGTTAATAGTAAAATAAAGGTAAAAAGTATCTATAAGTAAGTAGACAGTAGCTATGCCGATACTTTCGACCTTTATTTTACTAGTAACTCGCATGAACCTTTTCTTGTTATAATATAATTATTATATTATATATTATATAATAATCAACATAAACAGGCGATCTAACACATATTATATTAAAAGGATTTAGATTACAGAATTTATAAATTAATAATATAAATGAACTTTATGAGGAATTAATAAATTCTAAGTAATATTTTCCAAT